TATGTTTGGATTGCTGAGAAGAAGAAAGTTTGATCTTGAAAAAATTCCCTAAAATATAGGCAATAAATCATAAAACTTGAATCTCTATTAACTATTTAAATATTTATTTGAAATTAATTAATTAATTTAAGTCTTCATCTTTTTGCATTAGATCGGAGTTCTCATAATCCTGAATAACACGTGATAAACAGCGGATTAATTGTTTTTCCCTTATCGATGGTGTCATCATTTCGATAAACACCTAAAGGAATTAAAGGAATTCAATCCGATTAAGCACGATACGTTCCATGAAGACAGAATCAATCATAGTTAATCACGATCCTTTTTAAATCACACACGATCGCTTGTTGATCACGATATGAGGCAAACTTATTTCACAGCACGTTAAGACTCGAACATCGAAGGTTTTACTTTTGTCTATGATTTTGTTTGTTTTCCTTTGTTTATTTGCGATTGGTATAATTAGGATTGAACGCTTCGTACTGAGTAGTTACACTTATAATAGTGTTATAATTTTATAACAGTTATAATTCTTATTTTATTAACAAGCATGGTACTTTAATGCTATTTTATTAGCATATTACTAGGAAAACAGACTTGTAATTGCTTAGAATTTACTGGCAAGCAATATTTATTTTAGATCGTTGCATTTATCACTCAGTTGGCTTTGATAATCTTATATAACGCAAGATTAATTATGAGCTAAATTCCATGCCGATGAATTCTGTATTTGCTCATTTATGGGTGATCTGATACTGCGCGCGAAACTTAAAAATGGAATGCCACATGCCTCGAGATATTCATATTTTAACCAAGATCAATTTATCAATTACGCTGCAACCACATCAGCTCGGCAGATAAAATCTTATTAGTCAAACTTGTTCCGTCATTAATTCCGTCATTGACCGAATAAATGGAATTACCATACCAGACGTTGCAGGATAAATTAAGCCGGTTTAAATGTTCCTCCAGCTTCTCAGCACGATTGATCGATCAAACAAATTGGAATTTGCCATCATTTGACGTATCTCGATAGAGACGTATCAGTCCGGTTGCTGCCGGTCGAGAAAAACCCTTTCTAGCCGAATCGAATTAAAGCAATCCGTCATTTTCTTCGATCCGACCGGTACATTGACGTTCTGCTGTATCCAATTAAATTGACTACGACGCTCTGTTCGTCCGGTTTTCGTTATTTGTTGCGCTATTTGTCTCTTAAAGTGAGCATTGAGCTCGTTTTATACAGAGTTACACGGAATTTCGTCTTATTAAATTTTCAAGTAAAAGAGGTTGAACAAAATTCAAGCTTGTAGGAGCTTTGTACAACTTAGGCTTAAAGGAAAACTTGAATGTCCAGAACATACGTTATACATTACGTTCTTCTATTCTTTCACGGTAAATTTACTTTAAGTATTTATATTAATACAAATTACAAACAATGATCGAGTCAGTGATCCTATCTGTTTGTAATTTGCACATTGTTAGAGATTACAAATTTATCATAGAGATCGGACTCTGTTTGAATTCGAATTGCAGAGCGGAAATAAGTGAAGAAAGCTTTCAAGTTAATATAAAAAAAATCGAATTATCAAGGTTGGATTGTATATCGGTAGTAGTTGTAGATAACAGCTCCACATGTTATGTCGAATTAATTTAATTAAGAATAATGGAATGGTTCGTTTGCATAGCTCCAGGAATTAACATGAACGCAACTGGAAAGAATATCAGCACGGTGACAAGAAGTTGCACACTGGCTGGCCAGTTCCATTTACCGGGAGCATCGTGGCATCCATATTTGCCCCCAATGGGATTTGATACTTGCACAGTTTGCACGTGTGACGTAAGTTTATACTGCTTTATAACTGTTCCTCTTTTTCTTCACTATGAATTTAACGACGTTGAGCAGTAATTATTATCCTATTAATTAGCCATTTTTTTTTAGAATTAAGAGGAACCGATTATTCAATCGATTAGAATATCCTTCAAGCTTCGTTTAAGCAAAAACGTTTGCAGAATTGTCGATAGTCGATAAATTCATTTGGACGAATTTCAAATGTGTTTTTTATTTTTCCTCTCGCGTCGGCGCCAGTTTCTCTTCCGACTGCACTTATGTAAATATTCTTTAACCTTAGGTCGAATTTCGAAACCGCGTTGGAATTTAAATGGTCCCCCATGATGCGGAACAGAGCGCTGAATCGCGACTCGAGGCACGGTTCGAATTCCACGCAGGCGGCTGACTTTTTCTAGATTCTTTGTTTACCTCGTTACCACCATACCACACATTCACTCTCGTCGGTCAGAGAGTTTCGTAACGATTCCAACATCAGCGTCGATTCTGCGACATATATATATATATATATATATATA